CTTGGGGTTTGGTCCCCTTCGTGTTTCTGCGGCGTGAGTGACCTTTTATACAACTGTAGATGTATTTATCCTCGTTTTTGTTGCTAGGCGGTGAATTGAAATACACAAAGAGGTCCATTTCAGACGTCGTGTGTGACAGATCGCTGCTCTGTAAAGACCATCCAAGACAGGGAGTGGTGATTCAGCAGCTCTACACGTCTGTAATCACCACTTCACATCTTCTGCCGTCTCTTATTCTATGCAGTGCAGATCTCTGTTTTCCAAAAATATCTAAAGTGTTCAGCGTGGCTTGCTGCTGGAGGAGATGCAGGACTTACTTATGCTCTTTGAAATCTGATAAAAGAGACAACTCTCGTTAACCTTAATGCATTACCTTAAATTCAATTCTGCATGAAACTGTGAGGGATGAGCAGCGAGGCAAGGCAGGCTGCTATTCCAACTCTGATCATCAACATCATCACCATCTCAGATCCCATTGTCCTGTATGTAATCAGTGGTATTAGTTCAGGCTTGTACTGAGACATCCTCCAGAGGACCAGATGAGTCCCACTTTACCAGAGCAGCAGAGCCAATCAAACAAAAGGCTAAAGTTCAAGCAGGCGCATCAAGAAGGTTTGGATTTGAAACAAATCTTGAAAAAGTGTCTTTGGAAATCTAAAACTGCAGCTGAGATCTTCACAGAGTGTTCTCATTGGACTCCTTTGCATTGACGTTAAAAAGAGGCATCAATCTGAGAAAAAGAACTACCGTAAATCCTCCAATATTAGCCTGTATTTAATTAACTGCCGGGTATCATATTTTGGCCGGTGTCGGAGTCGGCGGAGGTGAATAATGGCCGTTTTTTTATTGTGGCCGGGTGGAATGTGGTAACAAGCAAGTACGGGGCCGGTTGTGTCATCCGTCTCACTTTTGATTTGCCAGTGATAGACCGCGAGGGTAACTTTAACCGTGCGGAGACGAAGAGGAGGCGAAAATTTGATGTCAAGTTCAAAGAGAACGTGCTGATTATGCTGCAGAACACTCTGGGGAGCAGTAGCAGGGGTGGTATGAACTAGTCACTAGTCGACTTCACCGCTCTATAGTGACTTGTTATGCCTGTCATCGACTAGTCGCTGTCACGTGATAATGACCGGCAAGATGCAGCCCTCGGAAAAGACAGCAGCCTGCTGTCAGCAGGGGACAAGCTCCAGCTCGTCGGGAGGCAACGCGCTGTGCCAGAGAGTCGGTACTGACACCCGCCGTAAAACGGACATTTAACCAAATTGTGACGTTTACCCTCTTGCAATTTAACATTCCCCTCACCCCCATCCTAACCTTAACCAGCTTGTGCATGCAAAGCTCTGATTGTTGACGTGCTCCAGACATCTGCGTCCTGAGCACGGCCACAGTAACATTATCAAATCAGGTGTCGCCACCTCAAAAACTTATTTAACACACGATCGTTCATGTCGGCTGATTTCCTTTTATGTTTTCTGTCTTTTATTCTTTTATTTGTGCCTGATGCCTTTCGCTGCTGTGGATCGGGACACATCACCTGTTTTGTCCTCGGTGACGCACCGATCACTAATGCGGCCGGGAGCACGCCGCTGTTTTTGCGGTCGGTAGATCTTTTAGAACTGCAGTTCAAAGGTAACTCATAAGGTGAATATATATGAACCCAGGTAGCCGTTTTTCTTTAGGACTGAGAGGAGATGCAGGAAGATAATAAACAGGCAGGACAGAAAAATAGTCAAATAAAAACAAGTTAGTTTTTGTACCTGGTGGTCGCAACAAACAGACACCATTGAAGGTAATCAGAAGTGAGGAACAGAAAATGAAATAATTATTTTAATGTTTAGAGCAGCAGGAACTCTGAGAGGCTGCAGGTGCATCAGTGAGTTTGCGGCCGCTGCGCAGGGGGGGGGGGGGGGAGAGGGCTGAAGCAGAAACTACCGTTGTTAAAAGAAATGTGTTTAACTTTGAAAATGTGGGCGCAATTTTAATTGTCAAAAACTCCAGCGAACCATTAGTTCATTTTGCTCAAATAGAAATAGAGGCCTGCCTCTAATACTGGCCCTCCTTCCAATAAAGGCCTGGAGCTTGATGAGCTTGAGTCAAATACAGGCCCGGGTCTGTATTAGAGGATTTATAGTACATACAGCTGTAGCTGCACAAAAAGATCTTTTTAACAAGAACTTCTTGTTTTAGTCCAGATATAAAAATGACTACTTGCAGAAACTTAACACAGAAAAACAAAAATATTTAAGGAAATGGTGTCAGAGCTGTCTCTTTTTACAGGTTCCCGATTACAACTGACCTGTAAACAAAGATGCAGCAAAGTTCAAAGAGAAAAGTGTGAATGTCTGATGCAGGATTAGAAGTACATCCCGACCGGCTCCTAGCAAACATCACACTCATTTTGTGAGTGTATGTGGCGTTCACCCAGATGGCTCCGTCCTGCGGGATGAAAGGATGAAGCAATGCCTTCCATCTCACCGAAAACAGTTCAAGTTAAGTCCCATTGGTCATCATCGTCATGAAATACATCCCTGCCTTTGACCCATCCCCATGGGGAGCGGTGAGCTGCAGCTGTGGCTGTGCTCAGGAACTATTTGGTGGTTTCACCCCCCCCCCCCCCCCCCCCCCCCCAATCCAACCCCTTAAAGCTGAGTGTCCAGCAGAGAGCATCGGGTCCCATTTTTAGTCTGGTATGACCTGACCAGGATTTGAACCCTGATTTGGGTGGACACTCTACCAGAAGCCCACCCGATATAAATAGTTGGTCTTTATTGGCCTTTTACCCCTTAGAACAGGTGGAAGGCAGAAAAACAATGAATAAAACAGAATGTGTTGAAAGTCCTGATGGCTGCTTTAGCAGCTGGGCTTTAGTTTCCTCCAACCTGTCGACCTTACAGCCACACTTCCCACCATTACATAACAAGTCTGCATCACACACCCCCAACCCCCTGTCACTTCCAAATCTCTCCACCGTGAAACTGTCCCCCCGCTGAGAAAATTACATGAGGACAAAGCAGGACGTCGTCTTAGGAGACAGAGACGTAAGCTTGTTTCTTGCCAGATTTGCATGTCGAGGGTCGATTTAAGGAGGTAATGCTCTGCTGTAATTGCTCGTTTTTGTTGCTATTCCCATGGAAGTGTAGCCCCTTCACCTTTAAAACCTCCGCTAACACACACACACACAACCTTGGGGCATGAGCGTGAGTGGGTGTGCTGCTCAAACAGCGTGCAACACATTGAAACTAAAAATGAGTGAATCTCTGTGAGTGCTCCAACATAAATAAACACATGGGATGAAGAGGAGCGCACATTAAGCATTTAAACACATTTTCATTGGTATCAAAGCTTTTTTCATTAAGACTGATTGGTGCCAACACACCACATAATGAGATCTTGGAAAATCTGAATGAAAATGACAAAGTTTTGATCCACTGTTTGTGTTTAATAATCCCAATAAACCACTCGCTGCTCCTGGAAAGAACTCTAAACTTTCTAAACATCAGTAAACACATTCATTCTGTAAAATGTACTCTGTGCGCCATAGCTAGGGCTAACCCTCATCAAATAAATGTAACACACACTATAGGTATCCTTAAACGTCCTGGCTCATGTCGGCATCCAGCTTCTTCTGGGATGCGGAGGCAGGATAATAATAATAATAATAATAATAATAATAATAATAATAATAATGTCTCCTACAGCTGACCCACCGTCCAGCTGGCTAACATTTTTTTGTGTTTTAGACTGAACCCTCTTGTTCAGATCCAGGAGATGATCTACTGACGAGTCTGACCACTTGGTCTTTGGACAACTCTAATCCCACAGATTTAAACCAGTTCATACATTTGTTGTTAATACAGTTTTACAGCGGGGTGAATTTACATTTTAAAGTTATTTATGCATGTCATTATGTAGGTATTTGCATCTGAAACTAGCTGCACGCCTTTTGCAGCTAGTTGTAATAAAATTGTGCTCACACAAAGGAGATTAGAACAGTTTAAGAGATATCGCCACTAATCTGGTGACTGGTTTGCTCAGTTAGATCAGGGTGCATCCAAACTGAGGCCATTCTAACACCTACAACAGGTAAAATGTTAATATTTCATAATCCTTGCACAGATTCCATACTTCAAATCTGTAAGTGAAGCCAGCATCATTCTGGATGCTCACATACTGACTTCAGATTGAATGGCTGAAGATTTGTTTTCAATCTGGAAAGCAGAATAAAACATTAGACAAGGAGCTACAGGTTTCTGACCTCAAGATGGTTTATTTTCCAAAAGGGTCAGGCTTTTTTATTTTTGCTTCACTGGTTTGACCCTCTAATGGTGTATCTGATGCTGAGTTGGGACATAACGCAAGTTGGGACATGTTGGGAAAAGGAACCTCTGTGTAGCCTGTGCTGGTTTGTGGAAGACCAGTTAATTAACCTCCAGTAATGATGAAAGCACTAATTAGGGCCGAGCTGTCATTGAAAATATGATCATCACAGCATCATTACAGACAGAGCTAAAAACAGAACGGCCTGTTCCAGACTCACAAAAGTTCCAAGACGGGAAAGAATGTTCAGCATCTTTTTATGAATCTTTTTAAAATCCATTATTGTAACCAAACAGCTCCTTTATTGAGCTTACTTCATGGTTATGCTTGAGCTAACCCCCTGCAGACTCAGCTTTATTGGCTAAGATGCAACATCCTCTGGTGCTCTTCTTTATCACTACAGTAGATCCTTCAAATTCACAGAGCAGGATCCCCTATGACTAAAGTGTGGACAGTTGTTTGTCACTAATTGAGATGTTCGTCAGTATTTGGGCTTTCCTCTGTGTAACGCTGAGCTAAACTTCCTGAGAGAGTTGCTGAACTCGGATTTGATGTCCCTTTGTCCTCCGGGGACCCTGACGTTCATGTAGAAAGGTGAAACGTTGCTCGTTTATTAGATTACCCTTGTCTCACCTTGAAAACCACTGACAACAAGATAAGAGGGAAGCCTTTCAATCACCAACCTTCATGATGCCGCAAGGTGCGTTTCCAGATCCCTGAATCCTCTCCGCGGAATTATCACGACTGCCGCTCCCGATCCGTGGACTGCCGTGCTCCCGGTACCGTCCGTTGGTGAACACCTCCTCAGCCCCGAAGCACTGAGCAGCGCTCGACACCTCCAAGTAGGTCCGGGTAGCGGTGGGAGGCACCGCGGCCCCATCTCCGGTGATCCCCGTTAGGTTGGTCGCGCCCTGGGCTGTTGGTGCGCTGATGGCAGGGTCCAAGAAATGTCCCGAGACGGTCTCTGAAGCGTGAACCCCCGACATGATCCGCCAGAGTTAGAGCAATGTGCTGTCCCCGTCAGAAGAAAAACAGCCCATTATATGTATTTATTACCGTTATTATGATCTTAAATCACGCTTCGATCAGCTGATGTCCGGAGCGGCTGGTGCGCTCAGCGGCGTCTGGAGCCGGTCTGGTCGGACTCAACAGTTCAGACAACAAGCTCCTCCGGGGGGCATGCGCTCCAAAACACTGGAAAACAGATTTCTGCTGCAGGATTCCCGCTGTCGTCCTTGTTTCTGTCGTTCGTCAGCTCGCACTTTCGTCCCACTCTCCTCCAAAATAGGATTCTCTCAGCAAGTCCGCTCCCGTCGGCTCCGCCGCGTGCGTCGTCTCGCGCCCTCCAACACTTTTGCAGCGCTTGCAGAAATCAGAGAGCTTCCCCTTCTCAGGAGCATCCACGGGACAAATTCAAGACTGCGAAAGCGCAATCGCAACAAGCGCACGCCGGACGGACGCGTGCTCATGGAGGCGCGTGCAAGAATGCCACAATAAAAAAAAAATAAAAAAAAGCCAGCTGCTGCGCGCGCATTTACGCTTTGGTACTGGCATGCGCACGCAACCCAATCGAATAATGCAACTGTTTCAATAATTGATCACTCTATCTGAAGCATTTGCAAAACATAAAGTTCTTTTTGTAATAAAGTCTGACGCTTTGACGCAAACTCTGCGTGTTTTCCACAAGAGGGCGCTCGTAAATTCCCAACGTTGGCAAAATTGTTTATTTAAAAACGCGTTTTTAAGTGTGTATCATGACTAACACTGGGTGGATTTCATACAAACGAGTATTTTACTTTGATCCCAATTTTCTATTTCTGTTACCAATTTCTAATACTACTACTAATAATAATAATAATATTAATAATGATGATGATGATAATAATAATAATAATAATAATAATAATAATAATAATGGGATAAATGTGTGTTTGTGTGTTCAGTTTATTCTTCTTCTTCTTCTTCTTCTTCTTCTTCTTATTATTATTATTATTATTATTATTTGCATCAAAAATGTATCATAAAGTGCAATGCCATGGTTTGGTGGTAAAAAAAAAAAAGCTCATTAAGTAAATTGGGGGGGGGGGGGGGGAATAAAAAAAAATTTAACAGCTGAACTACAGACCTCAGAGCCAGATAGGACTTAGAATAAAGAAAACCAGCACAAAAATGACAGATTTCATGACTTAAAATTTTTACATGTGGGAGAAGACTTGTGTTTGTTTTCTGAACATTTCAGTAACCTTTTTAGGATTATAAATAGAGCCAACACTGGTCTCTTCTTTTTCAACTTTCAGCAGCTGATTGTACATTTCTAGTAATCCACCAAGTTTTAACAGCACATTTAACACATTAGTGGACCAAACTCCTGAGCAAAGTTAAAAAAGAAACAGTAAAAACCCTAAAGATATCAGTTGCAATAAAATGCCAGATAAAAAATAATATAAAAGAATAAAAAGTGAAGCTTTACGACTAAACCAAGAAACCCTGTTTATCGCTAACTAAAAGCTGGTGAAAACAATGATTTGAAAAGATTGATAGTTTGATCGTCCGCCTCCGCTCTGAGCTGGGATCTGGACTGAGAATGTCCAAGGCTGGCTGATCTGAGACCTGGCAGGAGTGTGATGAAGGAGGAGCTCAGTCTGGTGGTGCCAAGCCCTGGTCACCTTTAAAACCAAGAAATACAGGTTTAAGGAGCCTAATGATGTCCTGTTAGCTGCTGTGTCTGATACCCTGCAGTCACCTAATGAGAAGTTAATAATATGATTAATTCATTTATAAACGTCAATCTAATGTCTAATATAAAAACCACTGTTACAGAGCATCAGTTTATTTATTTATAAATGATCCAAGTAAACAGGAAACAAATCATACAAAATGAATGAGTGCATTTCTGCAGCTTTCATGAAAGCTCTAACGAAAAGCAGCATCCCTGATCAAAGATGCTCATCTAATGAGTTAGAGACTTGCACGGGTGTCTGTTTCCAGGTCCGTCCGGGAGCCTGGTGCCCTGCAGCATCACTGATTCATGAAGCGGAGTATGAGCTGAGGTATCTGAGGTCAGCCTGACGGAGACCACAGCGACGCTGAGGATAGGGTTCAGTGTGAAGATGAGCTTGCATCACCATATATGACACAACCAGTAAACTGAGATAATACAACTCCGTTTCTGCACTGAGAAAG